TACGTGCTGCACAATTTATAGTAGCTAGAAGTTGGAAGCAGCCCAAATGCCCATCAGTGAGAAACTGAATAAAGAAAATGTATGGGTTTTTAAATAAAATGGAACACTACTCAGCCACAAAGAATGAGAAACTGGAGACATTTATAGCTAAACGGGTGCATAATAAGGCCATACTCTTAAGTGAAATAAATAGGACACACGTGTAAATACCGAATAGTTTCTGTGGTGTGAGAAACTGAACATGTAAATAAGGACTAAAAGGTTTAATAGATAATGTGAAATAGGAAGAAAAGGGACAAAGAGAAAGGGGAAACAGGAGGGGTAGGGGAAAGGAAAGAAGGGAATATAATTAATATGAGAAAATGAAAAATAATGGAAACAAAGTCTTTGTAGATAGGGAGGGAGGAAGGGAGAGGTTGAAGGGAGGGCAGGGGAATGGGGAAAAAATAAGAACCGAGGTTGATTATATAAGGATACAATTTTCTAACAATGAATGTCATTATATTGTATACATTAAATGTACCAATAAAATTAATTTAAAAAACATTACATGCTGCAAACCTGTACTAATAAAAATAATAATAGAACTTTAAATATTATTTTTCTAAATAAATCAGGAGGTCATGGGCTGGGTATTAAGCTCGTTGGTTCTGCCACCTGCCTTACAAGCACAAGGACCTGAGTTGGATCTCTGGTACCGAAAAACAAAATCAGGAGGTCACAAGTAAAAGCCATGTCAGGCATTGGGGGAAAAGGTCAGAAGATCTTGCAGCATGGGATGCCTGTAGATAGAGAATGTTCTTCCCATGCCCAGTTTCCTTCACTCCCTGATAGCTGCATCTCCCCTGCCTCAACTGTCCACACTACTCGTATCATATGTATGGGACTTAAGGTTTTAGCCACAACCCACATCAACAATTATAGGGCTCTGGAACATGGGAGGCCTGCAGGACGCAGAGGCCTACTGGGTAGACTGTGCCTTCAATAAACTCACAGTCTTATTAAGGGCTTATTGTAAGTGATGATTTCAATTTAGCAGGAATTTATTGAATTCCTACTGTGGACTGGCCACTGAGGATACAAAACTTAATAAGATATACCCTTGCCCAAGAGAAAGCTTCCCTACTGACCTCTTCAATCCTCTTGATTGCATTGGACTGTCTATATTTCTGTTTCCAGCCTAGGTGGAGACTCAAGATATCATTAATTTTTTATGTTCTGCTTATGACACCATGAAGTTGAGGCCTAGTTTTTGTTTTGTTTTAAATATACTTACATCACGAAGTAGCTGTGATGACTTAACTACAGATAAACTGAGTCTTCCTATAATTTGGTGGGAGAGAAAACAAACAGAAACCATGTTCCTTTATATTTCCTACAGAGAGCTTTTAGAAATGTCTGGCTTCTCAACTGCTGATTCAGTGCCTGGCAAATAGTGGGGACTGAGTAAAAGAGTGTCCGCCGAGATAAATGCACTAATGAATAAAGGTTGGCTGAAAGTCAAACGTCTGATCCATTTCACTGCTCTCTTCACATCCATTCATTCACTGAATTGGCAGTGCAGGTGGAACTGGGGGAAGAGTCGCCAGAGGGGGGTAACAGCAAGCTTACAGCTTGCAGGAATCAGCTTGGTATGTCCCAAGAAATGGAGGAAAGAGCATGGTGGGTGGAGGAGAGGCTGAGAGACGTGATTGGAAATGACAGAGTGGCTTCCACAAAGACTTACAGGCATGGCGTGTTCTCTGAGGGTGGTGGGCATGAGGTCTGATTTCCATTTTGAAGAAATCACATGGCTGTTACCTAGAGGGTGGATTGCAGGGAGGCCAGGGGATCCACAGGTAGCGAGTGGCGCAGAACAAGTGAAAGGAGATGGCCGATGGTCATAGTGCAACAAAGCACCTGGCACAACTTGCACGCAGAATTTGAAGACGGAACTTCTTTTGGTCCCATGACAATGCCCAACAGATATGTAATGCCAACCATATGTATAATTTTAAATTTTCTGGTAACCACATTCTAGGAACCACATTTTCTAGTAGCAACATTTTTGTTTTGAGTGTTGAGAAGAAATGTCTTTTCCAATTTACTGTGTATTTGCTGAAAGTATCTCCTTATATTGTCTACTTTATTACCTTAAATTTCTTTTACATAACAAACAGCTTTGTTTTGTTCTGTTGCAGGAAATTGAAATTGACATCTCTCCTGAAATCTGTGCTGTTTTTCCTTCTAATCTTTTTTCTTAACTTTTCCTGCTGTAGCACTGGCTTGTGGTCCTCCCCTTGATTTTGTATCAGGGCTATAATCTTAAATTTTAAATTTATCTCTACTTACTTCACTAGAAACGAATTCAACAATTTGTAATTAAACTGACTATTTCCATTGAGTTGCCACTTATGATGTACACAGGTATCCCTGTAACTTATTTGTCTGTATAAAATATCCAAGTAAGCACATCACAAAGCTATGCAGTATGAAGAAAAATGCTATTCAAGCTGAATAAATGTGAGACGGGGCTATACTGTAGAAGAGTATAAAATACACATGTTCCAGACACAGTCACTACAAAACAGTAGTATCTCAGGTGACATAATTGTGACACTGAAATATAATCCCACAGACAGCGTAAAGTTGTATTTGATGGGAACATATTAAACTGCTTCAGTTTTTAAATTTAACTATATGAGTTACAATGAACCAAAATGTGCATTTGAGTTTCTCAGTTGTGCTGGCCGCATGGTGAGTTCTTGGTGTAGACAGCAGAGGTACAAGGGCTTCAGTGCAGGGCCTCTCTGTCCGGAAGTCTCTCCTGACCTGTTCTATACTGAGGAGATACGGGTCTGGGGTGCGAGCTGGAAACACCATGTTCTCCTTTTGGCTTTCTATTCTTCTACTCTGGCTTATGTAAAACTAAAACATGGCATGGCAGTGAGTCAACAAACAAATTAAGGCAATGTGAAGTTCAACCCTTAAAAAAAAAAGAAAGATTCCACCCTGGCATGAGGGTTCAGGCCCATCCCAGCACTCCGGGAGGCTATGGCGGTGGGGAGGGGAATCACAAGTTAGAGCCCAGCTTGGAGGCATTAGGCACTTAGCAAGACACTACCTCAAAATCTAAAATAACAGAAAGGTCTGGGGATGTAGCTCAGTGTGAAGGCCCTTTGTTCTATCCATAGTACCACAAAAGTAAGCAAACAAATTCCATTTCTTTATTTTCTTTCTTTCTGAGGGGCAAGGGATTCTGGGGATGGAACCCAAGGTGTCACTCATTCTAGTCAAGTGCTCTGTCACTGAGCTATACCCCACTCCTTTTTTATTTTTTATTTTGAGGTGAGGTCCCACTAAATTTCCCAGAGTGGTCTTGAACTTAGAATCCCCCTCCATCAGTCTCCAGAGTAGATGGAATTCTAGTTGTTAAACATGCATCCTTGCAGAAAAACACTTTCTTTAAAAGAAGAAAATAATAATTTTCATAAAAATTTAATACATGCATGCACTTGTGACTTTTTAATCCGTTACCTGTTAAGTATACCTGTCCATAAATCCAGGGAAATCAAGTGTGCTGAGGCTGGCTGCCAGCCCTGATGTCTACATCCACACTATGGCAACATAAATTGACTTGCTGTGTTCATTGTTTGTGAAATGCCAGATATGGGGCTATTTGACGATGGCTGTCATACTCCACTAAACAAATAATGCCAATAAATGTCATCAATATTCAGTAGATTGTAAAACTTTCTGGAGTCTGCAGAGCAAATGATTCATTTTGAGATTTGTGTAACCGTGGGCTGACGCTCGTTAATGTACTCATGTGCCAGGTAGAGTTGTCACTGACTGTCCTACACAGGCTCCCGTACTCTCCTACATCTGTGAGCATTTTTGTTCCCCAGGCACACGCTCCTGCTTAAACTCTGATCCCTCCATGGCTGCCGTAATGGGTCTCTAGACCTTCCGCCAGCGTGCCTTGTCCTTGGGTAGTGCTTTGAAGCAAGGACAGACCCCTTCATGTCTGTGAGAATCTGGATTTCAAGAAAGATCAACCTTGACTTCCTGCTGCTGATGGAAGACCCTCTTTGCCCTTCTGTCTCCCATGGCTAATGTCACAAATATTAATGCTGCGTTTCCACATGCTGGGCTCAGAATGGCCCCTTTTAATTAAAATATGGGTCTGTTTTTTTCAAATGCATTTTCAGAGTTCTTCATGGGAAGAGGCACTTTTCCTGCCGAGTGCAATTTCAGTTTGGGCAAAATAGGGGCAGATTTTATTTGATTCTCTTTGAAGTTTCAGAACATCCTTAAACCCTAGGATGACTTTTTTTGCTGCTTTCATATTCTCAATGGTTTCCTGGACATTAGGAAAAGAGCTTTCATGCAGTCATATCTTTGGGATTCAGAAACATTATTGGATAAATATTAAAGAGAACCAAAATAATTGATTAAAATAGGGCCTAAATAAAATTTTTAAAAGCAACATTTAAAATACATTGTTTTTAACCGAGAATTTTGGGGAAGTTCTAGACTTACTATGATTCATACCAATAAGCCAGGAGTTTCTTATGGGAAGACATATCCTTTGCTCCTGTCAATGTGTCCACATGGCAGTAGAGCTCTTAATTTATCTCTTAAGACTTCTAGGTATAGATATCAAGAAAGAGACTTTCTTTGGCTAAGTTTTCTTAATTTTCATGGCGTCTTTTGAGTCCCGCAATACACTTTGGAGCTCCTTTTTGCCATAATATACTGCCTTTGTACCATGTTGTGTCTTGTTTCTCTTGCATGCCGCTGCCTCTTCTACTGAGTTATTAAACTGCACTAGGACAAGGATGGTACTGGGTGTTAGATTCTCAGAGAGCCTCTCCAGCGCTCCCTCTGACTCTTCATCTTTTTGTACTCTGGCTTATTCCACATTTCCAGGGGTTTGGGTCAGATAGGGCACATTGCAATATAAATAGACAAAAAAGGGTTTGGGGATCATATTGATGACCAATTTTATTTATCTTATTTTTACAATGTAGAATGTCAGAGATATTCCTAGGTGATTATTTTTCTCTTGTCCATAATTTCCTTCTAATTGTTCAGTTCCTTACCCCCCCCTCAAATATTTGTCCATGATAAATTTTCTTGCAAATTCTTTGCACTCATACTTGGACCTTGGGAATACAACTTGTTTATTGGCTTTTAGCCTGTGATTGATGCTATCATCCAAAACTGGTTTCATGGATGTAGGGGCTGTGGAGAATGCATACTGAGAGGTTTAGAAAAGGGATCTGACTTTCATCCGTTCTTGTGGAGCTTGTTACTCCAATAAAAGAGACCTTAGGTGTAATCACCCAGCATTGAGGGGATGGCTCAGGCAACAGTCAGGGTGCATTTCCCAGGTCCCTCCGTCCTGGCCTGCCCCCCAAAAAGCTGTCTTGCTCCTGCCATGACACGGCCACTAAAATGAGCTACATTCCTCCAAGTAGCACCCTTCATTCACTTCATTTGTAGTTTGCCTTTGCTTTCCCTGGTGCATTTGCACTCTGCCTGCAGTCCGCAAAGCCTGTTTTCTCTAATTGTCTTTCTCCTTTAGGTCCTGAATTGTTTCGCTGTTTTTTTTCCTCTGGCTTCAAGCACTTGGGGGTGAAGTACTCTGTGAAAATGCCTAAGTTTCAGAGACAGATGAATAAGGATCCCCTTTATTTGGAAACACTAACACCTTACTTTTGCATTTGATATTCTCCGAGCTGTGCTAACAGCAAATCATTCTGAGATGTTGGTTTTGTTTTGTTTTGTTTTTTAATCATTCAGCACCAGTTTTCAGCACAGTATCACATTATCTCTGTGTGGAAAACTCTCTGGTTCACTTGCTGTCCCACCAGGATAAACCTGGATATGTGTAGCCAGTGGTGAGAGAATGGGTTCTTAGAAGCAACTAGCAGAAACCAAAGTGTGAAAAAGAGAGTGCAAGGCAGGAGAGGGGCTCAGCACTGAACACAAGGTAGTTTTCTGAAGTCAGGGCAGCTGGAAGCCTGGGCTGTTGCACTGTGCTGCCATACCCGGCAACTGTGTGCTCAAGCTGTGTTTCACTGCCGCACACAACAGTTAACTTCAAGCACATTTTCACACTGTTTGGCTCAAGCTCCTGGCAACGTTCCTAAACACTCTGAGGAAATAATTCCACAAAGTGGCATAAATTAATGTGACTAATTAACATGATGTTAATTATTTGTAAATTGTATGTTTGGATACACATTACTTGAGAGGCATATGTTATATTCAATGTTTACTGAAACAAGTGACTGCTAATAGCTCCTCCTGAGTGTTCCCTTCACAACAGTCAGCAAATGGAGGCTTCTCTAAAAATAAAAACCGTGTCCTCGGGGGAGCTGCATGAATGACTGAATATAATCAGCTGCCACCAACGTAGAAGTAGCCGGCTTTCCTTAAAAGTGGAAGTTCCTGAGGCTTCTTGCTTCACACCTGATGTATTTTGGAGATGGCTTCATTAGAGAGGCTTCTCTCCCAAAGCCCACAGACAGGCAGAGCTTTGGGGATGTTCCTGAAGTGGTACCCGGGGCTGGCTGGCCTGTGGTGCCACCTCATCAGGTCCTGGCAGATCTGTGTCATGCAGTCTGTCTGGTCCCTTCCTGGCTGGTGAGGTGACAGGGGTCCACTAGGATAAAAGCAGGTGAAACACCTCCTGGCTTACCCACGACAAACATTCAGGCAACACAGAAGCATTGCCTTTGGACTCCAATGTGACCTTCTGATTCCTGGTCTCAGACTAAATCAATCTGTTTAAGCAGCTGTTGGGTTCTACAGAGTGTGTTTTCTTTTTTCGAGTTTCATTAATTTCAGATGCTTGGATATGTATTAGTAGCATTCCAAATAAGTTAGTCTTTTCATTAAAAAAAGCCCGGACACTTAAGTAGGAGAAGGAAGCTGGGTGTGGAGCTACTTGCCTTTAATCTCAACATTCGGGATGCTGAGCCAGGTGGGCCAGAAATTCAAGGCCAGTCTGGATTACATACTGAGACCCTGTATCAAAAAACAGGAAAAAAATTTAAAGTACAAGGCAGTGGGGGTGGGAAAGGGAGGGGAGAAAGAGGTGAATGGGATGAAGGTGCTCCTCTGTTCCTCTCATAAATAGATGCAGGATTTCCTGCAAAACATAACAAACAAACAAACAAAACCATTATTCACAAAAGGAATAGTGAGTGGAATTTGTTTCCTGGTGGGGGATGGAAAATATTTATTGGAAGTCTAGGTCATTTTCATCTGTTCATAGGCATACATGACATAAGTAAAAGCAAAACAATGCTTATGGTGCACACCTGATTAGGTTGGACTGTGGAGATAGACATCAGCGCTCATGAAGCTGATGACCATCTTGGTGCTGTCACATCCAGTCAGACCTTACCTGGCCCATGGTGGCTGCCATCAAACAGGTGACCAGATGCTGAAGATTTATGGGAAATGAATAAATGGTAACTGGTGGAATTAAAAACAAACAGGGCACCTTCAAAGCTAGATAACATAGTCATTCCCAGAACTGTGGCTATTTGGATACACAAATCTCCCAAAATCTCTGGGCAAAAGTATATTCTGTTTCAATTTTGTGGACAAAATGAATATACGACACTTTGGGGAGAAATAAGAAGAAAGTTAGCAAAACCTGAACTGGCCCTGGAAGATGACAAACCATAACTACTAAGTGTGAAGAAATGGAGATTCGAGAAGAGTTTTTACATTTGGAAGAAGCACTGTCTACTGTAAGAGAAAGGAATAGGGCAGACTGTTCTATACTAGCACTAGAGAAATGTGTGCCTCGAACCATCAGTCACTGGGCTGGTTCCGGCAGTTTTCCCTTGTTGCTACTGTGGCACAATCTAGTGCTACGAGGAAGTCACCAAAGTGGCCTCACACTGCAGGTCTAGTATTTTAAAACATAAACACTATATGTGCACAGTTACTATTGTGATGAGAGTTCTGGGACATTGTTTTAAAATCATGACTGTTAGGAATGACTTGAAGAACTTTTCTTTCTTTGAATATATATCTTAGAAAACTTATCCTGAATTCAGATTCTTTCTGTTCAATGTTCAGTTCATATTTACCAGATGAATTAAACAGTTGCTAAGCAAGTCATATGTAATAGTTGCACGTGTAGGGCCATTGCTATTTACTGTGTAGCTGGCCTGTTTTGAATACGTGGCATAAATTGGCACATGGATCCCTCATCCAACCCTATATTATGTAAGGTCTGTATTTATATTCATTTTAAGGTGAAGAAACTGAATATAGAGGAGGTCAAGAACTTTTTCAAGGTCATACAGCTTGGAAGTAGAGGTGCTAGGACTGGAAATCGGGCATGATTTCAGAAAAGGTACTTCTAACCACTTCTCATCTTGATTCTTGATTTAACAGCAGAAATGCTCTCTCTCAAAGGGAAAATGCTTTCTCCTCTGTCAAAGACTGACCTCAGAGAGATCCATAGACACTGTTGGGGACAGAATTGGGGAGAGAGACTTACTCTACACCCACCAGAGATCTACAAGTACAAAGATCATTTTTCTCAAAACACATTTTCTCACTGTTTTCCAGCCACTAGCTTTATGAATTCCTCAAGATAACGTTCCAAGTAACCCTTACCTCTGCAATATTTTGATGGTTTGACTTTAATTATTAGTTTAATTTTCAGTATTTTGTGTTAGTATTTAAACTCTGATAATAATAATAAGAAGAAAATTTAATATTGGTTCAGTATACTTTATATGGCAGGCACTGTTCTAAGCACTTTACATAAACTTTTAACTCAGGACCGTTATCGGCATCGGCATTTCGCAAATGAGGACACAGGCACGGAGCTCAAGAGTTCGTAAGTGGCAGAGCTGGGACTTCACGAGTCTGGATCTCTAGCGGCTCCTAGGATCCTGAAAGTCGTAAGGCACATTTGGTGAAGGAAGAGGAAGCACACTTAGGCTACCCAAAGGCAGAAGATAGGCCACTGTTCTGGGGCTTTGCCAAAGACAGCAGGAAACAGCTAGATTTTCATCAGCTTTCTCTTAATATATGAGGTATGATGAACACATACAGTGAATATGTAAATATTTTTAAAGTTTTGCTTCAAAAGTGTCTTTCAGCGGTCTGATCAAAAATATAGTGAATGAGCCAGGAGTGGTGGTGTACGCCTGTAATCCCAGCACTCGGGAGGTTGAGGCAGGAGCATCGCTGTGAGTTCGAGACCAGCCTCGGCTACATAGTGAGTTCCAGGTCAGTTTCAACTACATAGTGAGACCCTGTCTCAAAAAAAAAAAAAAAGATAAAAGAAAAAATAGTGAATGCTACTGCCAAGTGCGATCCAATGAAAAGGAGACTTGTGAAAACATTACAGTGCGTCTTCATCCACCTTCTTCACCAGATCTGGCACCATGCCACTTCTGCCTGTTCCGCAAAGTCAAAATGACCATGAAAAGTAAACATTTCGAACGAGTTCAGGACATCAAGGCAGCCACTGCAGTGCAACTAGACACTCACAAGAAGAATTTCCAGAACTGCTTCAGAAAGTGGCAAGGACAATGGGAAAAACGTGTTCAAAGAGAGGGGGTATAGTTTCGTGGGGATTAACAACAGTGTGTTCTCTACTACCATAATTTTGAAATATAAACCTTCATGATGTCAGCAGGTATATGCATTCAGAAACCCAAGAAGACTGGAAAGGTTACAACACAGTAAAACAATGTGACCTTGGTCTTCTATTGTACAGGGAACATTTGGGGCAAAATTATATTTCTTCATGAGGAATAGAAGCATCTCATTCCCAGGTTATACTCAGCTAGAACTGGGATTCTTTTGCTTACCCTGAAGGAAAAATACTGCAGTCCCCTCTGGAGAACAGACAGTTCTGGATAACATTTTTAGTAGTGTACTGGCAAAAGAAGATAGAAAGAGAAAAAGGTTTTAGCAGAGCACTGGCATCTGGCCACTGTCTAGTTAACAGGATTAATATTTTCTTTTTCTACATAAAAAAGTAGTTTTCTAAGGGATCATAAATTTTTAAACCAGTCACTGTCTGATTTCTGACTTTAAAAAAAAAATTCAAATTATTGGCTTCAGCTAACATGTTTAAACTCTGCCCTGCTTTGTACTTACTTAGAACATTTCAAACTTCAGAGCCATTCTGTGAATTAATCGTGTGTGGAGTATATGCAGTTGGAATTCAACTATAAATATAAATGAAATTGCTCCGGCCATGGCTAGGCTCAAAACAACTACAATGATTTGGAGTTTTCAGTCAAAGAGAGAGAAATTTTGAAGAAGGAAAAAAAAAGCTGAAAGGAGCGATTAAATATAGTAAGAGTCTTTTGCATTAAAATGTTGGACTTGTGTTACTTATCTACATTATTCCTAAGACTCTGAAAATCAGCTTATAAGCTCGACTGTCAAAGTGAAAAGAATTGCAAAGTGTTTACCAGACTCCGGAGAATCTTTTGCACCTGATCTGCAGACAGTGTAAAGGGAAGCTGGAGACAATAACCAGCAAGGAGTCCCAGGGTCGCAGACTGGTACCAGCTGGCCTGACTGTGCACCCAGCTGGAGAGCTGAGAAGATGAGAGCGGGAGGGACAAAGACGAATGAGCAGTGCCTGCTTCTCCGAGGGCACACTCCTGAGCTTGTGTTCTCCTCCCGCGGAGTCTGGCAGGAATGGCTGGAATCACCCCTCCACCGTGGAGTTTATCATCAGGTCCGGTTGGCAAATGTTTTCTCTTTTGATGATGGGCCAGAAAGGAGCTAGAATTTGAGATTGGCTTGCTGAGCTAATGTCCCAGTTGTAATACTTGCTAGGAATAGACCTTAGGAAGCTACGTAACCCTCTCTGAGACCTCACTGCTTTTATACACTCTGAGAACATCTGCCTTTTAAAAGTTAGGAGGTGGACAACTGTGATCCACTGCCTTGTTTACAGACATATGTACGTGAAATACGTGTCATGTTCCACAATGCCATGTGAAACGTGAACGACACAAGGCACAGGATAAGTCTACAAGGAATTCTTCTACCAGGGAAGCCAGATTAGTAATGATTAGAATGCAGACTGAGAAACAAATGAAATATGCTCAGTGTAGAGGGTTGGGACAGAGGAAGCTGAGCACGCCAGTAAGGTGTACTAACATTGGTTGCAAATACAGGCTAAATGGAGAAAGGCATTCTCCCTCCATCAAAGACAGTCTGGGTGTCAGGAAAGATCTAAAGATTGCTGTTTGAATTAGAACTTAACTACACTACATGAGTGTCAGGAAGAAGCGGCCCCAGGAAAGACATAGGTAAGCAGGATGGAGTGGCTGATGTTGGGAACTGAGCACAGGGCCTGCTGGGGGAAACCTGGAGCCTGTGAGCCGAGGCTCCATCCTTGAGACCCCAGACAGGGGAGAAGCAAGTTCAGATTTGGAGCAGACCCCAGAAACTCCATAGCATGGAGGCGTGAACCTGGTACTGTGCAAAAGCAGTCACTCACTTTATTCACTCGGACTCTTTATTGCTTATAGCACAATATTGGGAAATAATTCTTTCCTTTGCATCCTTTTATATAACAGCATTACATAGATATAACTTAGGTACCATTCAACACACCTACTTAAAGTACCCAATTAAGTAGTTTTTGCTATATTCATGAGCTGTGTACCCATCACCAAATTCTGTTTTAAAACATTTTTATCACCCCAAAGAAGAAACTCCATACTTCCTAGGAGTCGCTTATTCACTCTCTTCCCTCAGTCCCTCATCTACTTTCTATCCTTACAGATGTATGTGTTCTAGATATTTCGTATTACATGGCCTTTTGTGACTTTTTTTCTTTCACTTAGCATATTGTGTGTAAAGCTCATGGGTATCGTCATAAATATCAGTACTTTATCCCTCTTAGTAACCAAGTATTTTTATGCATATGACACATTTTATTTTTTCATTCCTGAACTCGTGGATATTTAGGTGATTTCCGACCTTTTGCTATTAAGAATAATGCTACTACCCCCTTATGCACAAGGTTTTATGTAGACGCTTGTTTTCATTTCTATTGCATGTGTGAAAGTGGTATTGCTGGACCACACGTAAGTCTGTATTTAACATTTTGAGAAACTGTCAGACTTTTGAATACCTGCACCCTTCTCCTCTTTTCTCCTAATACCCAGTGAGTTCACTGCTGTTTGGTGTGTGAACTTTGAGGACAGGAACCACAGGAAAGAATTACAGCTCACTCAGTCTTGGCTGCTTGATGACCCCAGGCAGGGGTTTACTATTCTCACTGTGAGGATGCTGCATAGCAGTGACTAATATTTCCTTCGTGCTCGTGGATCTGCAGGTCGGCCTGCTAGGCTAGCCTAGGAATGGGAAGGTAGACGTATCGGTCAGAATCAGCTAAAGGCCAATGGCTTCCCAAGCTACCTTCTCAGTGTGGCTGATGCTCAGGAAGCCACGAAAGACCGTGAGCATTCTGTGCCCAGAGGGAGTCACCCAGCTGAGCCCAAAGTCAAAGGCATGGGAAAGTTTGTTCAACCAGCTTTTCTGGAAAGTTCTACGGTGTTTACATAAGTCTATTATGAAGATGGGAGAAAAATTTGCGAAGAATGAGCTAAGAACGAATTTGCAGCAATCTAAAACTGAGCTTTTCTAAATCAGTTATGGTAAGCCGGGAAATGAGAAAGAAGAGACCATGGCTTTTTTGTTCAAAAAAAAAAAAAATATGAGAAAGTCATAGTAACTTAAAGGCCATTCTTTGGAGGTATGTTTAAATTAAAATACAAATATATTTATAATAGGCTATTCATGTTATACATTCCATCTTGTTTACTAAGTTTTCTAATGCTTGGTTACTTCATCAAATGACAAAATTGGTGGTGGGCTGAGAAGGCCTTAGCGGATCTCGTCCAATCTAAAGACTCAGTAGAAGTTCAGAAAGCAGCCCTCGCTCCCATAGCTGCTTTGCAGTTCCCAGGGCCACTTGTTCCCCGACAGTTCTCATACTAATTATTTGATTTTATTCGTTTGAGACATCCCTTGAAGTAGACGTTACTATCATTCCATTAAATAAGGTGTGATTGAAACATATGATAAATGTTTGAATTAAAAATACGTATTCCAGTAAATGTCACATTGCCATTATCCACCCCCCAGTACTTTCTATCACTTCAAACACACTTAGCCCATGGTTCTTGCCACTTTCTGAAGGAGTTCTGGAAGAGCTCTTTGGGAATGTCTTCACCAGGCACCATAAAAATACAGTAAATGTAATTGCAAATGCCATCAAATGGAAAGGCAAGCTCAGAAAAGCATCACAGATTGTCCTCATCCACTTTACTCACTGCATCTAGCACTACATGATCTCTGCCTCTTCCCTAAAGTCCACACGATCATCAAAGGTAAATGCCTTGAAATATTCAGGGTGTCAAAGCAGCCACAACAGCACAACCAAAGACAACCCTGAAAGAAAGCTACCAGAACTGCTTCACAAAATGGCGAGGGTGATGGGATAAGTGTGTTTGAAGTGAGGGAGAACATCTTGAGGGGGATTTGTGGTGATACGACTTTTACTGTAATATTTTTCACTTAAACATTCACTGTATGCTTTGATCTTACCTCGTACAAACAAGGATACTAAGTTTTATGGATATCAAGGCCAAAAGCACAGCTACCATGTGGCAGTTCTGCGATATAACTGCTCACCAAAAGTCCAGGTGATCAACCACAATCCCAGATAATCTGATAGAAAAAATCCCGCTTCTGGATCTGTAACCTTAACTTCAACCCATCTCGGTTACTCATTCATACGACATTATCTTTATGTTTCAGTAAGTATAACATTCTTCTCTTGGTTTTCCTTAGGCTTTCAGTCTAACTACCATATCTTCTCTATATAGTCACAGCTATTGTAAGCGGAAACTTTAGCCCCACTATGGATTAGTTTAGGTTCTAAGTTGGTTGAGCTAAATTACTGGGGGCTTAATCTATCTATCGCCTAAAAGGTGTTATAGTTTTCCACGGACTTCGTTATCTCAGCTTTTCCAGTTTTCCACAACCTAAATTAAACTCAGATGATACTATATATGGAGCAGGAGGTGGTTTTCTGTGGTTTCCACATTAGTAAGGACTTTACCCAATTTAAGTGTTTTACTTCAATTTATGTGTTTTTATATCAGGTGAGCCACAGTGAGCAAATGAGATAACCTAAAGTTATCTGGAAAGGTAACAGAGAGGTGGAGAGGATGGAAGAGAAAAAAGGTAAAGGTGGTGTGACTTTGATGTGGAAAGTGAGCAGAGAACTGGTTTATAGATGATTATGGGAGCTAAGGAATCATGAAAACTTAGACTGTATTAGAAAGTGGAAAGGACAGAAAACTGACTCATGCAATACCTACTGATTAGGTTGGGCACCTTGGTGGAAGTGGAGCTAATAGTATCAGCTGTACCTCCTCAGGGGACCATCTGGAATTTGAAATGGAATATTGAAGCATCAATACCATCATTTCTGGCTCTGCACTTGTTGGCATTCTGTATTCAAAGCAATGTTGTCAATATCAGAATTTGCCAAAGTGGCGGTAGTAAATCTCCCCCATGCACTCCCCAGTCTTCCTAGGCATAAACGAAGCTCCTTCAAATGGGCTACCATGTTTAATGTGTACCAGTGGGAGGAGCTCCTCCACGCGCCTGGAGACAGCTGTGCTGTGAGAGTGTTCATAAACTGTGTGTGAGCATTTGACAAGTTGACAAAACACTGACAAAAAACAATTACTCAAGAAGCAGCACTTGGAAGGGTGGTTGGTTGTTTAGAAGATACCAAAGAAACAGAGGAAAAAAATATGCTAGGTACTATTTTTGCCACTGCAGACAAAAAAATATTTCCCAGAATTCATCTGAGACTGTCAGAAAAATGTCAATAAATAAAATGATACACTATAATCCACTAAGTTCTTATGCTTTATTTGTGAGATACACTTAATTACTGGGCTAATTATACTCTTCCAGATAACAAAATATAGAAGTTGTTTTAATATGTCTATATGGCAAATACTTGAAATAGACAAAATAGTTCAAAGTACTTAAAACATCAAATGTGTCTCATTAGCTTCAATAATTACTGTATTTTCAGGCATGATCTGAATACTATATTTCTTTTGAGAATAATATACTTTCTTATTTGAAAAATAGAGACAAATCAACATTTTAATATCATTTAACTACAAATAATGATGATTATTATAGTAAATATCACTTCGATCTTTATGCCAATTTGGCAAGCTAAATATTTTATTTGCACTATTCTAATAACTTCTTGATCACTGTCTCTGAGAACAGAAGTATTGTCAGCCTTGCATTGTGGATGAGCAGCCTGATTTTGGAGTAGTTAAATTACATTTTCAAGATCACACAGCTGGTACCCAATAGAATTACAATTTAAACATGCTAGTGCTCTGGGCAGCACAGTTTGCACATATGGGGCCTCTATGGGATTTAGGAAAACACACCCTTTCATCAGGATACTCTTATCTCTATCTGCTGAAAAATTGTTATAATAAACTGACTGTGTAGACCAAGACAGCTTGCTGCCATATACCAGAAAACTGTTGTAATAAGTATACAAATCTGTGGTGTCCATGAGGTGGAAGATATCCCAGAGGTGGCTCGATTAGGCACCGTACTCAGAGGCCAGGTACTCAACCAATTCTACTCTTCAGATTCTGGTAAGAGATCATTTTCATTATGTACAAAAAAAAATGAGAAGGAAAATTCTGTAGCTACTTTCTTCCAGTTTTTCCAGACTTAAGCGGAGGTGAAGCATGACGCTGATCTTGATGCAGTTTGTGTTTCTGTTTATTTAATGTACTCACTCATCACTATGAAGAGTTTATATTCACCCATAGGAAGTAACAGGAAGTCAGAGACAACCTCTGCTTTCCAAGACTTCCCAGTCTAAGTGGGGCAATAAATAATCACAGAATTGTGGTAAAGGTCTGTGGATTTCCTTTCAAGAGCCTCTCCAAGTCACTGATCATGGCCACCTGTAAGGGAGCCCTTGACATTGAAGAGGACCAGACCCATGGAATTGAAGTCTCAGTGGATTGCTATTAGGTCAGCAATAGTTTTATTTCATTTTTAATGGCTTTGTTAGATTATCTTTATATATATATATTTTTCTACTTATCTCCCTCTGGTATTTTATCATGGTATCCATACATGCCAGTATCTCTTAATGTTTTGAATTAATTTTCTAAGTTCTGTGTCTTGAAGCTTCTGTGGGTCATTTCCTGTTTCGTATTTTTACTTCTTTTCCTTAGAAGTAGGTTTCTGTGCTTTTACCCATTATGTTCCCTTTCTTTTTGTCCTCTTTTTTCTTTCCTTTTGGCATATCCTCACAGCTACTATGCAGTTCATTATTATATTCAAAATGTTACCTTGATGACATTGGTATGACCTCATCCCTCTCACCTACAATATATCAGAGTGATATGGTTTTTCCCTCCAAGTCGTTCACTTTGCCAAGGCTACTTGCTTTGTGGAAGATAAAGACCAAGCTCGGAAGTCAAGCTGTGTTCCAACTCTCATTCTACTTGAGGATTGTCTGTTTCTTTCCTTGCCCACCAATTCTTAAATTTCATTACCCTAAATCGTGTTCCTTCATTTCTTTGGCTGCTCAAGATGATTATTCTTCTGCAATTTTCTTTTTTCTTATTGGCATTGCATATTGAGGCATGCCTCAAATACCAACTGCCTGTTTCCCATAGCCATCAAAGGGCCTCCTGTTTCTTTCTCTTAAAATAGCATCCATTCACCAGAGAAATTCTCTCTCTCTCTCCTCCACCTCTCAACCCTTTAGGCAATTCAGGTCAGAATATTCCCCCTTTGTTTCCATCTCTTCAGCTACATTCTTCTTTTCCTTATAGTTGTCAACCTCCCACCATCATTTGGAACTGGTGTTTTCCTTGTCTTAATTTTGTCATTCTGAGCTAGAAAACACACACACACACACACACACACACACACACACACACACACACACACTCTCTCACTCACTCATATTTCAACGCTGTCAGGTGAGCTGTATTCTGTGTTAACTGCCTGATTCTGAGAGCTAAGGAAAACTCTACCTAACAGTTAAATTAGTTCAGTTTATTGCATTGTGAAGACAAGGACCCTGAGCCTAAGTTGAAAGTTACCTAATTTAAATGAGAACCAAATTGGCATCTCAAAATAATTGTTGAATTTGAACTAAAAGTGACAATACTGATCTATTACAGACCACTTCCAAATATCAATCTTATATTAGATACCAGATAAGAGATAAGCAGTTCTTTAGGAGCTCTTTGCATGCAATCTGCTATTTCCAGAGGAGAATTTGAAACAAGGCTATGTGAGCTTGACTCTGTGTCTATCAGTTACTTGCTGTAAGACCTGAGCCAGGTTACCTCACCTTTCTATAAGCCAGCTTTCTTATACTATAAAATCTTAGTATGCAAGCATAATTCATTCTGGAAACATGCTTGTAAATCAAAGCATTTCTATGTCAAAGCAAATTTCCCCATAAGAAATAAAGGTAACTCAGATGATTAATTCCATAACCTAAAAATATTCATATAGAGTGATACTGTAATATAACACAAAATATTAAAGAAAATATGAAATATTAAAAAAAACACAAATTAACCTGCACTTATCTTTGAAACCCTTAATGGCTGGTGTGAGGAAGACAAGAGAGAAAAAGTCTATGTTGTAGAACAACTTTCACTATCACTAATGGAATCACTGCTATTTATTGGCTCAATTAAATCTTTTTTTGTATAGCTTTAATAAGAAACCTATCCAATGACACTTGCTTCTGCCCCCTTTTGATGGTATCACAAAAATGTGATATTTCATTGTCATTCAACAGACTTGTCATTCACACTGCTATAGCCTTAGTTGGGTGATGCCCTTCTACAAAATTTTGCACTGTTTCCCACATTATACACATCTTACTAATTTCACTGCAAATGAAGGATTCTTCTAACTCTTTCTCCTCCTCTGCAGATGAGATCTCCTCCATAGCCTCTTCTTGCTGAGAAATAATCACTCACAAACCCGTGGGGAGAGAGAGAGACAGAGACAAAAACAGAGAGACAAGCTCAGTTGTGATCAAGTGATGTTTGGCATCACACACCACACATAATACAAGACATCATTCATTTATCAAGTTAAAATTCATTAGAAAATTTTCTTCATCTTGCAGAACACTCACAGAAAAAGTTATTAATAATCCAAGGTTTTACTCTTTGTTGGGGATAACAGAAATACCTCCTTCATGGACTCTGTTGTGAGGATAGTATTACATAACAGGTAGCAAGTGGATTTAATATTGCCTGTATCAGTCAGTTTTCCATCACTACAAAAATATCCAAGACAGATAACTTAGAAAAATTGTATTTTAGCTCATGGTGTCCGTGGTTTCAGTCCATAATCAATTGGCATCATTGCTCTCAGACCTGTGATGAGGAAGCATGTCATAGTGGGAGGGCATGTTAGAGCATAGTCACTTAACTAACGAGACAAGAAACGAAAGGAAGAATGGAAGAGGAAGAGACCAGGGTCCCACAGTCTCCGTCAAGGGCATAACCCCAAAAACTTAAAGACCTCCCACTAAGCCCTCCCTCCTAAGGGTTCTGCCACCTCCCAGGAGCACCATCCAGAATACCAAGCTTTTAAACATATGTCCCTTTGGGGGACATTCCAGATCCAAACAATAGCAGAATATCGCTAGTAGTAAATGGTCAGAAGAAAGTTAACTGCCTCTATTACTTTCCTTCATGTCATAGATCTAGAAAGCAATTGGAAGGAAAGAAAGATCAGAATTAATGCCTTATTTTCTACATGTGACTTATGCCTCCTTCGAAAAATGTCAAGGCCATCACTGAAGCCTAACAGCCTCTCTGATATGTGGCAGTCCTTCCTATTCCAGTAACCATCCACACTCCATTAATCATTTAAAGACTTTCCATGACTGCATTTATCAGCCTACATTGTAGTTACCAGTCTTTTCCCCCATGAGACTATTAGTTCATCTATTTATTAACTCTGTAAATATTTTGCATATTCACAAGATGAAATACCTTTTTCTCTTATCCTTAACAGAACAAAAGGGTCATAAGACACTCAACAGATGATTATAGTAATAGGTAATAACACTCCAACTGAGGGAGTACCACAAAGGAGAAGTTCAGGGTGTTACAGATATTAATAAAATACAGACAGCACAAAGTACTAGGTGTTTAACATTGTTGTGAATGGAGAAACCAATGGATGGATGAAAATTTAGGGATTAACTAACCAACTAAATGAGATATTATAAAGTCACTATGAACTAGATAAATGACTATGCTCTTTGTCTTTTCGTCCTCTGCTGGTGCCTCACATACTTTTGTCTCTTGAAGACGGGTCGATAACTTCATTGTCTCTGGGTCTCCTGCTCTAAGGGAAGTGCTAGGCCCCTGGTTACAAAGTTGTAGAAAGTATAAATTTAAAGTGAAATATGGGCTTCATTTACAGATTTCAAAAAAATAAAATAGGGCCAGGGATTTAGCTCAGTGGTTCCACCACCTGTCTCACTAGCGCAAGAACCCAAGTTCAATCTCTGGTACCAAAAAAATAAATAAAAATAAAATAGTTGCAGCTTTCTCTGCAATTATTTTGTTTCATCATAATTAAAATCCCTTCCTCATTAAAAGACAGGTTTTTGCCAGTTTGATATTTACAAAGTTACACCTATCTTTGGGTTTTGTTTCATAGCTCTCTCTGAGGCCAAAATATACACTTGACAAATATCTGTAGTCTCAATTTAACATAATTAGCTTTAAATTATTTCACATGCTAACAGAAATTTGGAACCCCCTTTTTTTCTACCAGACAGCATTGGAAACACTTTGCTTAGAATTAATTCTACATGTAATTATTCTGGGGGAGAAATATGAAACAAAGCAAGGATTATAGTTCTTATTTAGTTTATTTTCCCCGTTCAGTAAATATTACCAACTTTATTGGAACTTCGAAACTTTATTCCAAGGTTGAAGGATCTAAGCTGGAGTTTACCACTCTTGCTTTGCAAAAAAAAAAGGGGGCAGTTAAACAGTGTCCTATAAATTTCAAACTGGAGATTGAGCTTCTGTGCTCCCGTGAGGCTTTGTATGTGTTTCTGTCAGAGAGCACATTTCTCTTGTCATATTGTATCTCTGTGAGCTCAGTAATACTGAGCAACAGAAGATAATCTCCTTCCACACCCTGGTGCCAGCACCGTGCTTTGGCAGGTAGCAGTAACTCACTGGAAACATGCTTGCTGGTGGGCGAACAAATGAAACATGAGTGTGACTTTAGCAATGCAGTGTGCAAAGGGTTAGCAAATCACAGAAGCAGTTAAAGCTCATTTTCAATAAAGGAGGAAAGTGTTGATAAATTGGATATTATTAAAGTTGTACCCATTTTATCTTGATTTAGTAATGCAAGTTTTGCTTAAATTGTTAGTTTCTATTTTCCCAGGGATTCCCTGCTCCCTGTGCAAGTCCTAGCTAGATTTGGCTGGGTTGGGCAAAGTGATTTCCTGAGTTCTGCTCATGTATTCATTCAACAAACATTTATGAAGTGTTTTTTCCAAGCCACATTGTGCTACTGGGCGGAGAATAGTCATTTAGTAGCAAATATGCTTCCACCAGAGCCCTGGACATAGGGTCTCAGGCCCTTCATTCACAAAACAAGGAAGCTCAGAGATGTCAAGCGCAGGAGTGGTGCTCCCTTTGCATGGTATAATGCATCCTTTCTTGATGCTGAGCCCTCTCCTTAGAAGCACTTTGCACTCAGTGGCTCTTCAGCCATGTAGCTCCTTCCCCCAGTTAGTGGTTTATGTCACTGCCCCCCTGCCCATGGCAAACTCAGTATTATGTTTGCAACCACAGAGCCTTTGTCAAGGGCCAGTGACTGTTCTAAGCACTCTGACTGCATTAATTCATTTAATCCCTATAACCCTTTAATCCCATGAGGTTGATGCTGCCAGAACATCATTTTAAAAATAAAGAGAAGTTAACTCACTTACCCAAGATATCCAGCTGTGGGTGGCAGAGCCAGGATTTGAGGTTTAGTACCTGTTTCCAGACTCCATTTCACTCAGCCCTCTCCCCTTTGACTGTGGATGTGTTTTATTCAATTTTTTACCACATTCATCTGCCATGACCGCACCCGAGCAGATTCTCTATAGAAGAATGGAACCAGAAATCTCTGCAGTGAAGGCAGTGAAGAATAATTCATTCCCGTGCTGTTGTCTTATTCTCTTCACAGCTTTATTCTTATTATTGTCATTGTAGCCTGTCCTGCACCCTCATCTTAATTAAGTTTCCTCCTGATTCTCCCAGGGCACTCAGGGCTTCTCTTGGCAGCTTTTAAACTAATTTATTTGTGCAACATCTCCTTATCACATAGTAGACTCACAGCTCCAAGAGGACAGATGGACACCATTGGTTAACTGTGTAGATAGCCCTGTACTTATCTCAGAGTAGACACCCCATAAATATTTGTGGGGTTAATAAATAAGGAATCTCTGACTTCATGGAGTGACCACAGTGTTTCATGTCAGCACCATATAATCCCTTATATGTGCAACATCTCTCAACCACACTTTAAGAGAAAAAGCCATCCCCTGTATGGAGAAAGGTATTTAAAAATATCTTGATAGTGCAGAACTTCAACCGAGTATTACAGCCTTCCTCACAGAGAATTCAGATTCCTCATGCTAACTAAAACGAAACAAATCAGGCTCTCTGACTGAAACCTCATTCATTCACATTCCAGCAAAGTAGAATTTGTGAATATTTTATCTGACTGTGCTAAGGGAAAAAATGTTTCCAAAAGCCAATGATTTACAACAACAAACTAATGGTTTTTATTTTTCATAGAGCAAAATGGCTTAACACCTCAATTGTGATCAGATGGAAGTTTCTGATTTCAATGCAAACAGGTCCAAATGGACTTCTAGTTGGGAAGTTTTTATTTTTTTGTTATCATGGAGTACAAATTGCAGAGTAAACTTAAATACGATGAAGCTAGTGCTTTTTAAAGTCTTAGGGCAATTGCAAGTGTACCGCTTTTCCTGTTAAATGGCTTCCTTTTGCAAATCCTATTTGAACTGTCTTGACTCCCAGCTGCTCCAAAGCTGTTTGTTCTTGTTTTAGCTACCAGATAAATTATAAATTTGAAAAACATGTCATCTTTCTAATATCATTATATGGTTTTGGTTCCTCACCCATTCAAACTCCCCCTCTCCTCACCCACTCCACATTCCCTGGTCCAAATGTGAGAAGATTTATGTAATAAAATGATTTCTATTATTAACCTCAAAGAATGAAGATGCAGTGTTGAAAACAAAATACATAAATATAGGTTGTCATATAGCCTGAAGGTTCTTCAGGTAAATTACAGAATCGTATTGTCTAGGGATCAGCTTATCTTCTAAATACCCAGAGCCCCATTAGAAATGTAACACATTTAATCTACTTGGCAGAATGACATTAAGGTACAATGCATGGGGCCTGTTAAGTAGGATCTCTACAGCTCTGCATTTCTAGTTTCTCTGTTCTGATGAGTTTGGGAGGAGAGGAGAAAGTACTGACTGGTATAGCAGAGAATGATAAAAGCATCCTTGGATTTGTGCCACATTTCTCATGGACCCAGGCTAACTGGTATCTTAGCACCACCACTGACATAGCCATGTAGTCCTAAGCAGGCCACTTAGCCCCTAACCTCAGTGCTTATCTGTAAAGTGGGGATATGATCATCATGACTTTCAGGATTGTATTCTCAATTTAAATTAAATGGGCCTTTAGTCATTTATGATACTATTCTATACTGTACATGCCTTGCAGAGATTCTAGATGACGAACCACTTATGATCATGCTTCTTCCAGTTTGTAGGGACACTCAGTACAGATCTCTACTTGCCTAGAACACACTTCAGAAACAAGGATATAAATCGAAGAACAGAGCTTCTAAAGTGGGAATGATCAACCTCACGCAATAGTGCTCTTTTATTCCACCATACCAGGGCCCACAAGCCCTGATTTGGATCCACATTTACTCTGTTTATACTTTTCTAAAGGTTTAGTCACTTGATTTGCTGACTAATGAGAGAATAGAAACAGCAAAGCAAAAGCCAAAGGGATTGCTACCAATAGCAAATCAACACCAAAAATCAAGTGATGGTACAATAAAAGGGAAGTCACATCAAATATTTCTTTCCCTTTCTTGGCCCTCAACACCAAGATTCAAAAGCATTGCAGTTTATGTAGATTTAAACATCCTTATCCACATTTCAATAGTCCTTAAAAGCATGAGTGGATTACAGCTCAAACAGGACAGCAAATTCATGGCATGTTTCCCAGCACACCCTCTGTCTGTGTCCAAATCAGATGTCAAAAATTAACCTTCACACTCTTTTAGTTGGTGCCAATACAAGCCATCCGTGCCATGGCTGCAGAATCCTTCATGTACAATACTCGAACACTGATCTCCAAACCTTTGGATTTCATTCATGAACTAAAATCCACTTACTATCTTCCTGATGTGATAATTTTTAAAAGGACAAGGACATGGATGACCACATTAAGAGAGGCTTTCTCTCATGATTGAAGACCAAAAAAAAAAAAAAAAAAAAGATTTGACTTACTGAAAGATACTAGCATTTTGTCCAGGAAGGAAATGGAAAAAGCCTTCCCCAAATTCACTTTGCTTGTCCTGAAGTCACTAGGGAGATAGGGCGTAGCAAATTGATCTGATGCAAACATACTATCAATTTTGGGTGAAATGAGTAACTTCTGAACACAGCCCTCAGTCTAGCCATGGGAGGAGAAATTCCCCTGGAAAATATTAATATCAACTGGAACACTGTCCCATGTTTCACAATCTTACTGGGAGTTTCGGGGGCATGACATGAAGGACAGCCTTGAAATTCACAAGATCCTTACAAAACATTTTCATGAATTCAGGCAGTGGATTGTAACCCATGTGTTTCTGATTTGCATAGTACTTACAAGGGATTAGAAGTTAGAAGAATTACTACATAAGATGAGTGGTCCAATTTTTCTAAACCCAGGCCATTTGAACAGAGCTAAATTTCCTTTCTCTGTGTTTAACCCAGAGGCCAAGGACTCTCTGGCTCATTCAAGAGCCTTTGTAATTAGCTACCCAGGGACTAGGATGGGTTTTTAATGGTATGTGTACAGTGAAAACACCAAGAATTCATAGCCTAACTCACTCTTGTTTAGTTGAGCTCAGTGGCTTGTCCCTCCATGTGTGCAGTGATGGAGTGGGAGAGATTAAAGTTATCACCATAAGTTAGTTTATCTCACCCCTCAGGGAAATGTATCTGAAGCCACCAAGAGAGACAGAACTGCCTTGTGCAGACACATCTCAAGGATAAAGCATTCATCCTTGGTGCATGGCTTTATTTGCTCCCATCCTCTCCCTTCATATTTACTTATTTATTTCAAAAAGATGTGACCACATACAGTGTGACCTTGAAATACAGAAATGCATATGGGCCCTGCTTAACAGGTGCGGTTCATTAACAGAGAAGAGATAAAAGGTATGTGAGAGGAAATACTTGATGTTTTGAGAAGACTCCTCTGACCCAGTGTGGGATATTGGGTTGGAGCCAGGTCCCCAGATACCAGTGAATTCTTTCTGAGGAAGTGATATGCAAGCTGGATTTTAAAGGAGTTCACCAGAGAGATAATAATTTGGGGAAGGAAGCAGAGGAGATGCCACATTTAGGTACTGAGGCTAAGGAAGCGTTGCTAGACAAGCAAAGCAGATCAGATCCTGTAATACTCCAGAGTGCCACGCTGGGAAATGAAATGCAAATGCTTTGGATTCCAAGTGGCTGGCGAGGTGCATTTTATGAAGAACCTCCCAAGACTCAGCTGAAATGGTTCTAGGATATGGGTCCAGGACATAAAGTGAGAGAGAGAACCAATATATCTCATCCTTCTTCATAGCCAGTACTCTATTTCTTTCTAAGCCCCTGGGATTGGCTTGGTGACTCTCCTGTTCTCCAAGGGTACAACTTGACCAGACTTTCCCCCCTCCCCAAGCCAGCAGGCCATAGAACCGGCCTCAGGAACCACCTTTAACCACGCTGCTCTACACCGTGAAGAAAGCAGGGCACAACTCTTTCTTTAAAAGAACACAGGGTTGCCATGGCTGTGGCAGTGATGGAAAAGAGCTTGTGCAGGTGGCTCTGAATGTCCTTTCTCGATGTCTTATTCTCCAAAGAAATGTGACCCACTAAAGTTCAGCCTTTAATGCTCTGGACCAATTAAAGATTTTTAAACACCTAACATTTTAAGAAAGATTACCTGTGCCTTAGTTCTGTTTCACATCTTACTGTTGAGATTTTCTCTCACAACAAAAACCTGGTATTTCTGGCGTTGACACAAAACCTTTACCCAAGGGAGTGTAAGTGGAAAACAACAGAGAAACCCAGTGAGTACCATGGTGCAAGTTCCAGGTACCACCGTAACTGAGGCTATTCCTAGGCTTTGCAAGTTGTACTAATCCACCTGCTGTTATTAAGACGCAGCAATAACCACAGCACTACAGGACCATGTATGAGTTATCGGAACCCTGCTGTACGTGGATATAGCCTATATAAGTCTATTCTCAGCCATTGTAGCTAGGTGTCAGCTTTGTGCAGTTTCCAAACTTCATGTAATGAGCTGCTTACAATTTGGCCCAAAGGAACTCCTTTAATACTGGAATCGCCCCTTCGCAGTTCTTGACTTGTATCCCCTAAGGTCACCCTCAGCAGAAGCAAACAGTTGGAAAAAGTAGGAAGGTCAACCCATGGAGTTCTCCTACCTGCCTTTCTTCTCTCCTCCATAGTTCTCAGCTTTGCTCCTTCATACAACTGTAAACCACCACTGGAATGAGGTCAGAGTAAATTTATTGTAGGTTCCCAGAATATTGGCTTAAAGTAAATAAAGACAGTATTCCAAGGTCAAGGTAGCATATGAAAGAGCTGTATGACTTGGCTATAATAGAGTCAACAAAACTGGGTAAGTATATTAGGTAAATATTGCTGTGTAAAAACAAAACAAGACTAAACCCCTCAAAACTTAACAATTTCATGAACATACAATTATCTCACAATGTCTGTGGCTTGGGAATCTGGGATTTTCTTCATTAGGTAATCCTGGGTCATTGGCTCTCAGAAAGTTTTATTCAGTGCACAAGCAGAGACTGAACTGATCTCAAGAGTCAACTGCAGATGTGCTTCCAAGCTCACTTCCATAATTATTAGCAGACTTAGGTTCTTGCTGTCCTTAAGCTGGAAACATCAGTTCCATAGCGCAGCTCACAGATGCAGCAACTGATTTCCTTAGACTGAGCAAGACACACAGGGTCCCAATCATAGAAGCCACAGTCTTTTTTTTTGAATTGGCACATTTTAGGTATGCAATATAAGGACATTCATCATTGGAAATTTGTGCCTTTACATAATATATCTATGTTCTTACTGTTTTCCCACCCCCCTGCTTTCCTTCAATCCCTCCACCCCTCCCTATTTACAAAGATTTTGTTTCCAATTTTTTCATTTTCTCATATTAATTCCATTCCCTTGTTTCCTTTCCCTTACCCCTCCCCATTCCCCTACTCCTTTAGCCCTTTTCTTCCTATTATACAATATCAATTATACATTTTGGTCCTCATTTAGACTGTTTTAGTTTTTCACTCCAGTGAAACTTCTGTATTTACACGTGTGTCCTATTAATTACACTAAGAGTATGACCATAATGTGCATCCACTTAGCTATAAATGTCTCTAGTTTCTCATTCCTTATGGCTGGGTAGTACTCCATTTTATAAGAAAACTGCATTGTAAAAATGGATACATATTGAAGATATACTCCTAAGTGAGATAAATAAGTCACACATGTGTAAATACCGAATAGTTTCCCTGGTGTGAATAATCTGCAACAATGCATAAGATTCTAATAAGATTACTGACATTTAGAAATGGGAAGAAAGGAGCTAAAGGTGTAGGGAAGGTGGGATGGGTAGGGGAAGAGTAAAAAGGGAAAAGAAAAAAATATGAGAGAATGAAAAGATGAAAATAAAGTGTTTGTAGATGGGGAGGGGAAGAAGGGGTGAAGGGAGGGCAGGGACAAGGGGAAAAAATGGGAATCAAGACTTGTCATGTAGAGGTACAAGATCCCAACAATGAATGTAACTGTACTGTATCCCTAAAATGTATCAATAAACTCAATTAAAGCTGAAAAAAAAAAAGAAAGAAAACTGCATTGTATACCTAGATACCAATAAACTCAATAAAAAGAAAAAAAAAGAAAACTGCACTTTCTTTGTCCATTTTCCAATTGATGGGCAATTGGGCTGTTTCCAAATTTTAACTGCTATAAACTGTGCCACTGTGAACATAGGTATGCATATATCACTGTGGTATGATTCTTTTAATTCTTTGGGGAAGATACCCAAGAGGGGAATAACTGGGTCAAGTGGGACCTCCAATCCTAATTCTTTGAGGTACCTCCATTTTGATTTCCATCGTGGTTGCACCAGTCTGCACTCCCACCAAAGATGAAGAAGGGTTCCTTTTTCCCTACATCCCTGGCAGCATTTGTTATTGGTTGATTCCATGATAGCCCCCATTCTTTCTGGGGTGAGGTGGAATCTCATCATTGATTTCACGTGTGTCTCTTGAATGCCCAGTGATTTTGAACATTTTTTCATGTGTCTATTTGCTATTTCTACTTTTTTGTCTGAGAAATTTCTCTTCATTTCAGATGCCCATTTTTGAATTGAGTCTTTAAATTTGGGAGGTCTGATTTTTGAAAGTTATTTATGTAATTTAGATAGTAGATCATTATCTGAGGAAAACATCCTTCCCACATTATAGGTTGTCTCTTCATGCTTGTTGGTGTTATCTCTTTATGTGTAGAAGCTTTTTAATAAGATGAGATCCCACTTGTTGATTCTTTGTGCTAGTTCATGTGTGACTGAGGTTTTGTTCATGAAATCTTTTCCTACACCAATGCCTTCAAGAGTTCTACCAAACCTCTTTTCCAGCTGGTTGAGTGTTTCTGTTTTAATATTTAGATCTTAATCCATTTCTATTTTAGGTGAGAGATAATAGGTCTAGTTTTAATCTTTGGCAAATTGAAACCCAGTTTTTCCAGCACCATTTATTCAAGAGGCTATCTTTCCTCCAGTGAAGGTGTTTGGCACCTTTCTCAAAGATGAGGTTGGAGAATGTGTCTGGAATTGTTTCTGCATCTTCTAGTGTGTTCCACAGGTCTTCGGGTCTGTTTCCTTGCCAACACCATGCAGTTTTTATCACAGTAGCTTTGTAGTATAGTTTCAAGTTGATAATTGTGATACCCCCTACTTTGTCTTTGTTGCCTAGAATTTCTTTTGCTATTCTAGGTCTCTTCTTGTTCCAAATGAATTTTTGGATTGTTTTCTCAAGGTCTGTGAAGTATGCTGCTGGCATTTCAATTGGGATTGCATTGAATCTATTCAGCAGTTTTGGAAGTATGGCCATTTTCACTACATTGGTTTTTCTTACCCAAGAACAAGGAATGTCTTTCTATTTTCTGATGTTCAATCTCTTTTTTCAGAGTGCTATGGTTTTCAGAGTAGAAATCTTTGATTTCTTTCATTAAGTTTGTTCCTAGGTATTTCATTTTTTTTGGATGCTATTGTGAAGGGAGTTGTTTGTCTAGCCTCTCTTTCAGTGAGCCTATTGTTCATGTACGGGAAAGCTATTGATTTTTATGTGTTGACCTTGTATCCATCTATTCTACTGAATTTGGTTATTAAGTCTAAAAGACTTTTAATACAGTTCTTGGGGTCTTCTATACAGAATATCATGTTGCCTCCAAATAATGACAATTTAACATCTTTGTTTCCTATGTTTATTTCTTTCTCTTATCTAATTATTATGGCTAAAATTTCCAAAACTATATTGAACAGGAGTGGTGATAGTCCCTGATTTTAGTGTGAAGGATTTCAGTTTTTGACCATTTAGTATGATATTGACTATTAGTTTTTCATAAATAGCTCTTATCAGGTTGAGGTAGAAACCATCTATTCCAATTTTTTGTAGGTTTTTTATCATAAATGTGTGTTGGGGATTGTGTTGATTTTCTTGAACACTTTTTCTCCTTTTTTTTTTTTTTTGTACTGGGGATCGAACTTGGATCCTTGAGCTTGCGAGGCAGACAGTGGAACCACTGAGCTGAATCCCCAGTCCTTTTCTGCATCTATTGAGATGATCATGGGGTTTTTAGCCTTGGCTTTATTAATATAGTATATTACATTTATTGATTTGTATATGTCGAATCATTCCTGCATCCCTGGGGTGAATCCGACTTGGTCAGGGTGTACGATCTTCTTGATGATCTGCATTCTGTTTGCCAGTATCTTATTGAGGATTTTTTGCATCTATGATTTTTGGTGAGAATGGCCTATAGTTCTCTTTTTTGGTTGAATCATTCTCTGCTTCGGGGATCAAGGTGATGCTTGCTTCCAGGAATGAATTTGGGAGTATTGCTTCCCTTTCAATTTCATTGAAGAGTTTAAACAGTAGTTATTCTCTAAATGTCTTATAGAATTCAACAGTAAAGCCATCAGGCCTCAGGCTTTTCTTAGTTGGTGTGTTTCTAATTACATTTTCAGTTTCATTGAGTGATATTGTGTTCAGAATTTTTAGGTCTTCATTCAACTTTGGTAATTCATAAATATCTAGGAATCTGTCCATTTCTTTTTATGTTTTCCATCTTATTATTGAATAGGTTCTCAAAGTAGGTATTGATGAGCCTCTGGATTTCTGATTGGTCTGTTGTAATTTCACCCTTTTCATTCCTAATTGCATGGATTTAGGTCTTTTCTTAACTTTTTTTTTTTATAAGGTTGGATAAGGGTTTGTCAATTTTGTTTATTCTTTTGAAGAACCAACTCTTTGCTTCGCTGATTTTTTTATATCATCTTCAGTCACCATTGCATTTATTTCTGCTCTGATCTTTGTAATTTCCTCCCTTGTATAAGCTTTGGGTTTGTCCTGCTCTTCTTTTTCTAGAAGCTTGAGGCTCAGCATCAGGCTGTTTATTTGAGCTTGCTCTCTTTCCTTGATATGAGTATTCACTGTTACGAATTTCTCTCTTAGGACTGCTTTCATTGTGTCCCATAGATTCTGATATTTTGTATTGACATTGTCATTTAATTGTAGAAACTGATTTCTTCTTTAATTTCCTTTGGCATTGCCTTAGGGGATCTGGAAGTAGGGTTTTGAGACTTGTTTATATATTTTCTCATTTCAGCAGATGCAACCTGCTGTGCCTTTGTTGAGACAACTTTTTGTTCACCTAGTGGTCTTCAATTCTCAGCAAGCCACCAAGAGGCCTTTTCTCTACTGTTCACCAGAACAGCAGTTCCTGACTCAGAGTGGTGGCCTTCTGGATCCCTACAGTGTCCGGTTGTCTGGGTAGGGTTCTGGCTGAGCCCTTTGCAAACTTGGGATGCTATCTAGGCATGCCTCTGGCTAGGGCCTGTCACCCTGAGTAGCCGTTGTCTGGGAAGGCCTTTGGCTATCACCCCAGTTGCTGGTTCCTGAGCAGGCTTCTGGCCAGGGTCTGCACACTCTGACTGATTCTATCAGAGCATGCCTCTGTCTATTACTTGTTTGCCTTTGCATCTCTTTTCCAAGATGGTCTTTGGCTGTGGTCTGTGGGCCCAAGCGGCTGGGGTCAGGGCAGGGCCATGGTTGGACCTGCCTGCACCCATGCCACTCTGGTCCAGACTGGCTTCTCACCAGCCACAATCTTTATTATAACCTAATCATGGAAGTGATAGCTGATTCTTGGCTACATTCTATTTTGTTGCTAGAAGGAAGCCATCAAATCCAGGCTGCTCTTTAGTAGAAGTTCTAACAATGTAAGAGTATAGCTACAAGTAAGCAGGTATCACTGGGCCATCATGAAGAGCACCTGGTGCACTAGCCATCTCAGCTTTTGTCACTTAGTGTTTGTATAAACTTGGGCAAGTAACTTTTTTGAGTCTTAATTTCTCCATCAGTGAAAAAAAAGATAGTCAATGTAAAACACATGAACTACCAACATATAACAAGTAGTAGCTAAAATAAAGATGATGATGATGGATATAAGTTTTGATTTCTTCCTTTCAGAGGACATTGGAAAACCTTGTGGGCATCCATATGAGTGTTTAATTGTATAGAAGAGTGGACTGAAGGAATCTGATGTTTTTACCATTCATAACTCATTTTCTCCTGGCTCAGAGAAGAACAGAAGCCTACTTCTTCCAGTAGCATGGGCCACATCAGTGACTACCATATGCATTTCTAGCATCTTCAGTGATTTTCTTTTTACTTTCTAGTGCTTTAAGCTCATAAACTAGTAAATGGACAGGGAATTATGACAAGGTAAAGATGACACTGAGGGGAATAATAGTCTCTGGCCTCCAGATGTGACTTATCTTTCACTGCCAGGAAGCCATGTCTATGACTATGCAGCCTTTGGGGAAGGAGGCATTGAGAATGGTCATCCATTCAAGCAGGATTCCTAGGAGAATTTCTCTAAATACTAGCAGTAGCCTTTAAATATAGCTACCATGCAGCTCTCTGTGTCTTGTCTTCTTGCAGTTTCTGCAGAATCCTCTGCCTATAGTGCAGGTCCCCCTTTATGGTCATCCAAATGGTTCTGTGTTCTGTAGTATTTTCACCCATTAGCATTCCTTCATCAGAGACAGCAGGAAAGATTTCATGCTCAGCCTCACGATTCTAATACAGGTAACCTGCCCTTCAGTGAGAGTCACTCCTCTGAGGACATAACATCACAGTAATCAATAGCCACTTGAGGTGGAGACTATTATTATTACTGTTCTCAGATGATGAAACTGAAGCAAAATAAAAATTAAGCAACTTGGCCCACTACAACTTTTCATTAGAGCTAGTAAATGAAAAGATGTTTATGAAGATATGCAATAAAATAAAGCTTTGTTAGAGAGTTCACCACCGGAAACAGGTGTGCCTTTTTCTTGCCTGGTTCTTCCCTGGGATTCTGACAAGGTTTTAAATATATAAAATGAAGGTAGAGTGGATATGATTTGGAAATGAAGTCTTTTCAAAGTTGTTGACATGTGCTGATTGGTCAGGTCCAATTTCACACTTTGTATCTCCTGTGGTAGTACTTTTCCTGACATCTGACATCATGTCACTGAGGAATAGTGACAGAAAGACTCAGGTGAGAGCGAATGAAAGCCACAGACTTGGAAGGGTGATGAAATGAAATCTGAGTTATCTAGGCAGCCCAGTAACTGTGGGAATGAAGTGGTTTGGAGTAGTGTGTGGGGAGAGAACAGGAGCTGACCTAATCAGTGTGTGACTTGTATAAGCCAAAGCTTACATTTAAGCCTTACCTTCCTCATTTTACAAAAATACAAAATAAGATAACGCATAAAATCTTGGTTCCAGTCCATAATGGTTTACCAGGTAGCTTTTAGGGATCTCAGTTTCCTGCACTGTATCAACATATTGCAAACAAGAGTATGGGATGAAATGTTCTTCACAGCCTGCCTCTCTTTCATGCCATTCTACAATTTTCAGGCAAAGCAAATGGAACAGTTTCCATACAGATGCATGGAACTAGGAGTGACTGGCTATCCTGCAAAACTTGAAGGCATTCTTTGTAATGAATGATATCATAGTTCATGCAGCATGCCAGATTCCTATCATGAAGAGAAGCCATTGAAATCAGCAAACAAGGGACTGTACTTAAGCTTCTCTGAGTTTTCAAAGAGGCTCAAACTACTTTTCTGAAAAATCTATGCCTAAGATTCAGAACTGTACTGCATACCTTATTCCTTTTGATTGCAACATATGTTGATGAGCTGGGAAAGTTCATGGGAGAGTTCTCAGTTGGCTCTTGAGGATAACTCATTCATAGCAGAACATATGCAGTCTACTGTGTCCTTGATTCTGTGGGACACAGCAATGAATCAGAGTTGTAGTCTCATCTTGAGGGAGCTCACAGTCTACTGGGGAGGACAAAGAGGCAAACAGTTCAGCCCAGCGGGAGATGTGCTCTGCTACTACTCAGAAGGAGGAACGAAGGGGCTCTGCTAAGCAATGCTTTCACCAAATTTCCAGGGAGATGTTTTCCAAAGGCAAATGAACTAAAAGAAGGTAATGTCATTCCAAAGAGATGGAACCTCATAACTTAAAACTCAGAAGCAAGAGGAGACTATCTATTCGCATCAGAGGAGCTGAAGAATCTCTGTGCTTCTTGAACCAAGAATGCCTGTCCATCTTGATGATGTGGGGTGGCAGTACAGACACCAAACGAGGCAGGGAACCATACAGACAAAGCAAGGGATTGGGAGAAGCAGGCAATGGGACCAGGACATAAGAAATCCTTCCAAGTGCTATTAAAGAGGCTAAACTTTTATCTTAAGGACAATGAAGAGCCACTGGGAGATTTCAAAGATGACTAGCACACTTAGCTAGAAATTTGTGGCATATGGTGAGACTAAATGATATGTAAGTCTCCTGTATATTTAAACCATCCCAAACAGATACTTATGTATTCTCTTTCATACACTATCCTGAGAAATAAACTCTTTAATATTTAAAAAGTAAACCATTTTACTTTTGCAGCTTTTAGTCACGAAATGTTATCAATCTAGCAAATTTTTCATTTCTCGTTTGTGATTTGTGTGATCCCCGCAAGGTGTGGTGAAGGATTCTATTGTGAATAGAGTTGGATCAAAATGCAAAGAACATATAACTGTCTTACCTACACAAGGAAAGAGAAGACTGAAGATATATAAGTGATTTTTGGACATAAAAAATGAATTGATTTTCATAGTCAGATATTCTATATATGTGACTGTCTAAGCCTCAACTTCCTTGTGTATAAAATTGGGATAATGATACATCTATTGCATAAGTTATTGAGAATGTTTGGGGAGATAAGACAGAGAATGGGCAAAATCCTTAATCGAACAACTAGCACAAGAAAGAAATTTCTTAAGTACTAACTTAAATTTTTTGTTTCGGTGTTTACATATTTTAAAATAAATTTTATGATGTATATTTGAGATTTACAACATGTTATGGGATATATAGAGATAGTAAAATAGTTAAAGTGAGGCAGATTAACATGCCTGTTATCGCATATATTTAATTTTTTGTGTGTTCATGACAAGAACAGCTAAAATCTACTTATTTAACAAAAATCATTAATATAATACAATTTTATTAGCACTATGTTTTGTTCCAGTGGTTGCATCATACCTTTTATGAAGCTAAATATAGAAGAAAAGAGTTAGAAATATTGACAATGAGAAGCCATAACTACTGTCACACTAGCTAGTTGTAATAAAATCTCTGATATTTGGACACTTCAGATTCAGAATCTTAATAATTTGATTTAGTATGAAATTCTTTGTTCCATGGAACAGAAACTAGTTGCTTTCAAATGAATAATGAAAAGTCTAGTGGTGGTAGAGATGACTAGAAGGTGGTGATGTTAAGTCTTTTAAAAATATTATAGCTGTCAATCCATCATCCCCCCCCATATATATAACTATAAACAATTTTCAAAGCAGGTATATGATATGCTGATTATAAACTTGACCATATTAACTTATTCAAGTATTTCCAAATGTCATTTAAATTGATAACATCTCAGTAGTCATTTATTTTAAAGAATATCTCCAAAAGCAAATATATGACATTTTTTGGAAAACACTTTGTACTTTCTACTTGCCACATCCTGTTTTTTCTGTTACTCTTAGTGAAAGTTATTTTGCAGAATTCATAGCAATCGCCATTTATTTATTCAGCAAATATTTATTGAGCGCCTATTCTGTACTAGGAAATAGATTGGGTGCTGGAGACACAGGAGTGGAAAAAAAAAAGACAAGGTCACTTGGTCTTGGAACTTTATCTTAGTCATAGGTTTGGCTGTGGAATAACACAGTGATAATCTTTGGGAAGCAGGTATAGAAAAAAGCACATGATAAAATTGGTCAGTGATAGAATAAGTTCATCATAACTTTGGCCACTATACAAAATTACAAACTTCAGGACAATAGCATTTTGGGACAATGTTTTGGAAGTTCTGATTAAGATACTAAAATTATACAAATGACTCTTAGCATGTAGAGATTTAAATGTTTCCCCATTATCAAAGGATTCCACTCCACTCCAGAGCCATAAAAATTCTTCTAAGTTTCTCACTGATTTGATATAAATTTTAAAAGAAAATTAAACTCCAAAACTTACCATTTCAAGCCTCCACAGGAATCTGGCCAATAGCTGTGGTTCTTCCTATCTTGTCTTTAATTCCCAAGGCTCCCTGAAAACTCCATGGACTTTGACACAGAGAGAAAATAACACTGTGGCTATTTCCCACAGCTCTAAGCACTGCCTCATCTTAGTGATTTCTCCCCAGCCTGCCTGCCTGCCTTTCTTTCTTTTGTTTGTTCTTTCTTTCTTTCAGTTGCTGAATGCCTCTTAGATGCCAGTCATATTTTTTTTTGTTTTTCTCTTTAGTCCCGTAGGAATATATAATGCAATCTGTGATTTCTCTAAGTCTAAATAAGCACTCACTGGCTCTCCAACCAGTACTTGGGCCAGTCGTTTAGATAACATAAAACTACCCTTCCCCAAAAGCAACAAGTTATACTGTTCCACTCATTATTAACTAAAGGAGACTCACTGAAGGAAGTGACAGCAGCCTTTTTGTGTGTATTTGCTTTCCATTTACCTTGTAACCTTCATCTCTCATTTTAAAACAACTTTATTTGTAGCACTAAAATATGGTTCTTAATCTAGGAAAATACCCACCATATTATTTTGAAAATCTCTTTCTAAATTTACATAATTTATTTAGAAGCACAATTATTAGGAGAGCTCAGATCTTCTCTAACTTTTAGATTGCTTGAATTAAGCTGCTGCTATGATTGCTTGAATTGAGTACATTTTTTTTTCTCAGTTTCTTGTAGCCACAGAATTCATCTCTCTTTTCATACACCCATTCATCTAGTCAACCAACCCATTATGATGCTGGAAACTAAGCCTTGCTCTAGACCCTGAATCCAAACTGAGACCAAGGCAGTGTCCCTGCCCTCAAGGAGTTTGCATTATGAGATACACTGGGGTCTGCCAGCTAATGGGTTTGCAGCTATTGGTCAGCTAATGAGTTTGGATATACAGCCTGAGCTCTGAGCAGTTGACTTCCGTCTTTGAATCAGTTGTTCTGACCTCAGAGAAGTTTTTCTGTCATAAGTCTAGAGCATTATGTAGGTGTCTCTGATCTGGCCTGACATCTTACCTTGGTTATTGTTGTAATCACTCTGAAACGCAGAGCAGTGATGTACACTCAGTAGCTGATGAGAAGCATTTATAGAACTGAGTTGAGTTTAAATTCATTTGCTCCCTAAAACTACTAGTGAATCAAGATTCCAATAAAGGACACTTTTCTAACCTTTATATTCTAAACCAATTGAAAAATAAGAAAAAAAAGAGTTGGTAGATATAACAGATACCATCTATGATACTGTTATAAATGGTTATTAGAGAATATGGCTTATATCTACAGGCAGATGGCCTTCCAAGAACAAGTACATTTATTCACCAGGTCACCAGCATCACTTGACCATGCCGTAGGACAGGGTTTGCCCCCAGAAAAGAAAAGCAGAGGAGGAGCATTCCCTGAAAAACTTGTATATGAAAAGAGGAGGAAAGGATCTTACTTCACCTGCCCAGTTTGTCCTTCTAAACAATAAATCTCTGATAAGATTCCTTCTCTCTTCTCAACTCCACCCTTGCTCCAGGTAGGACAAGGAGGCAGAGGGACAGGACTATTAACATCTTAATGAGGATCCCCGCAACAGAAAGTCATCAAGTGAAAAACATTCCCTAGCACCACTCATCTCTAGCTTGATTTGGTTACACACTCACTATTCTCTACCTGTTTTCTTTATATTTGTCTTAGTTCACTGTTGAGTTCCCCTTCCAAGTAATTTGAGTCATGTAATTCCAACAACACAGATCTTATTTCTTACCTGATTTCTTTTGCTTGCCCCTTGTGCATAGGCCCATTTTTTGTTTTATGTTTTTGTTTTTCCTAGATTAGGTCTGCCTGATTTGGCCCCTAGCCTAAATAGTTCCTACTCTAAACTACTGGGGACTCATTGTAATGAATGAACATATTCATTATTGGGCAACTATACCAGGTACTTGTTTGGGACATCAAGATGTAGAAATAATCTAGTTAGATATAGTCCTTTCCTCCCAGAACCCACCATGGGCTAGAGAAATAAACCAGCTATTTATATGCCAACCTCAGTAATTATTCAGGCAGGGAAATTTGTTCATCTGACATATTGCAAGATCTTCCCAGTATTGGCTACAGATCCTGACATATGCGTTTAGACTCCTTTCCATGGTGTTTAAATTGCTGATAAAATGGTTACTCGTAATGTTTTTAACTGCTATCTTGACTTTTTCTTTTCAATTTTTCTATACCATTAACTTCTGATAAAGTGTGTGGGGGAAAATCCTTCCAAAGTTCCATGCAGCCAAGAAAAAAGAATCAAAGATATGCACTAGCGTTTTGCACAAACAAGAGGGGTTTCTGAGGTAGTAAAACATATGCTTGACAAGTGATATTGTCCCCCAGTGAGATAGTGTACATATCTCCACAACCTGAAATTGCATGAATGATCACCCTGGTTATCAGTTCATACATGCTCACTGTGGCTGGGTGGCTCCAGGAACTGCCTTCTTGAATGGCTTCAAGTCCCTCTTCTCCAACAAATCCATCATCTAAAGTCCATACTCTAATCGACCTTGGGGAACACACAGTACTCCATTGTATTTTACCATGTTAGGTAGAGTGTGGGGAGTCTCAGCAAGTAAACTCTGAAGTGCACTCCCCAGTTTTTCTCACCATGTAGTACCTCTGTAGCCCCAGTACTTTGGCATTGGAAGATTTGTCCTCTCAGCAGAAGTGTCACTAGAGGCAGTCCTCACTTAGTGTCACGAGTTCCCCTCACCAGTGTCGGCACCCTGGCACCACATGGCAACTGGTAGAAGTAGAAGTTTTTGTTTCTGTTTTCTGAGAGCTCACCAGTTGCCTCAGCATCCCATCGTGGAGGGAATCTGTGCTACCGCTGTCCCAGGTTGGCCAGGCCGTGATCAGTTTCTTGTTATCTCTGGTGAACAGGCTCTGTAACCTGCCAAGCACAAAAGGTCACTTTCACTCAGTAGCTATGTGTACACGCCCATGTACATAGTGTGATTGAAAAATACTGCCGGTGTTTAAATTTTTAGAAGTTACTACAGTAATAGGTGCATTACCATTTATGCCCTTCAAAGTATTCTTCGCTTTGAACACACTTACCCTGTCATCCTTACCGCTTTCTGAAGCAGTTCTGCAAGTCCTCTTCTGTGAGTACCTTTAGTTGCCCTGTCATGGCTGCCTCAGTGTCCTGAATTGATGGAAAATGTTTACCCTAAGTATAGACCCTTCAGGAAAGAAGTCATATAGTTCCAGACTCGGTAGATAAAGTGGATGAAGACACACTAATGTATTTACAAGCCTGCCTTTCCATTGGATGCACTGGCCAGCAGCATTCACTGTATTTTTTAATCTCACATTATAAAGACATGAAAAAAAGACTTTCACAGCTGCTTCAGGAATTGGCCAGAAAGATGTAATAAGTGTTTTCAAAGCGATAAGGAATATTTTTAAGGCAATTAATGGCAATGTGTTTTTTACTGTAGTATATTTTTAAAAGAATTTAATATTTACCATACAGTTTGTTCACTCCTTATAGATGTATATTTGCACATGTACACACACACACACGTATCTATGTATGAGTGGCTGTTATTGGGCAGTGGTTGCTCTGGCAAATCCTATGAATATAACCATGAGTGAGGTAGCTTTGGTGTTTGTCCTCCTGGAACCCATATGGTAAGGGACATAGACACAATTCAGTAAAAGCAGAGGGTTTCTTAAATGTGGTCATGTCAATCCATATCGGCTGGGATACTTATTAAAATTGCCAGGCCAAGATGTTATCTCAGTCCTACTGAACCAGATGCTGTTGAGGGTGTGACCTGGGAATCTTCATCTTAGCCTTGTTCTAGGTGCAGTCTAAGGTGAAAACCACTACGATGTAATTGATACTGCAACAGAGAGGTGTTGGTTGTTCATAGAATTCTGAAGAGCAACTGGAAAAAATATCCGGTAAAGAAAAGCTAGAGAGACCATGAGGAGATTTTTCAAAGCCTACTTCCTCCTCCCCTCTAACTAAAGGGTTCCACCAAATGATGACCAGTGTATTGCTTCCTTCCTTTGTAATGCTTCCAATTTAAAGGAAAAAAAGGTTTTCCTATAGATCTTTGCAACTCAATTAGCTGTTTACATTAGTTTCACTTTCTTTCCTGTGGCTACTTCTCTCCAATAATAACAACAGTACAGAAACCTAAATTGGTTCAGACACTTTGCAGGACCCAAACCGCAGATCCAGAACCTTCCATGTGTAACTCATAAACACTGAATCCCTGACCTCATCTCAGCTCCCTGGTAGCTGTCCCCAGTGGAATGCGTGATACTACATTTCCTGCAAAGAACCAAGTTTCATCCTGAGAGAATGAGACCAACACCTACTCACTGAAGTTCCATTTCTTCACTATGTGTAACCACTTCTTAATTTTGTTTGTTTGGGATCCAGCTTACTGAGGTCAGTTAAAGTCAGAAGGAGATGTCGCCTTGATTTAGTAAAATTATATTCTTTGTCTGCTTTGGGTTTATCTCCTTGGGCTGGGGTGTCATTTGAATTTTATGTTTTTGTCCTTATTTCTTCCCACCATTTCTCTTTCCTGGGGAAAGTTTTCAGTGTTGTGCTCACCCTATCTGTTTGCATGGAAGATGTTTGTTTCTATAAAGTGCCTGTCCTGTCAGATCTCCATCATCTTTATAGTCTTGCATTCTGTCACTGTGGCTTATGTCTAGCTGTGGTTTGTTATGTTTTGACAGGAGTTTGTTATAAAGCTGGAGATCACGTCCGGCTTTGCCTTTCAAACTTTCTTCTTTACGGTAGCCATAAACCTGTGCTACTAAAATGTTCCCTCTAAGGAGAGAGGGAAATTCTGATAACAAAAGCCTTGGAGGAAAGGAAAAGAGATGGGGAGAGGAAACAGAGAAGGAGGGAGGGAGAGAGAGAATTTTGGAGCTGTTATTAAAGTAGCAAGGAACATACCAGCCATCGTTCAAACGAAGACTAAGAAAAGAATACCAAGAGTTTCCAAAGATTTGAGAAAAATAATAACAGACAAGTGGTAGAAATGTACCTACATTACCCTACCATGATATTTTTAATCTGGAATTCTGGGTGAGCTGACAGCTATAGATACATGA